TTTTTAGTAACATTGTTTAGTTTCCTTATTTTAAGAAGATTAGGGAATAACTTTGCCTATGTAAACCAACGGTTTTTAATCTTTTTCAATTATCAATTCATTACAATTAAATTATTCTTTATAGATTTTCAAGTTTTTCTTATTTTAAGAATTTTAATTCCGCTTCCCAATCAAAATTGATATCAAAGCAAGATTTTACCCTTGGCTGATGGTCAATTATAGTGGTAGTGGCATGCATCTTCAAAGAGTTTAAAACAATCCTCAGTCTACAATCTGGAAAGAAAGATGTACAGGTCCAAAATGCTGATGAAAAAAAATTGTAACTTTAAGTGCTATCATGTTGGTCGCTTCGACGAGCCAAGAAGTAGAGATTCCTTGTGTACCAGTCAGGTTTGAATACTCATAATGGGGATGATAGAAATTTTGAAGTTTTTTTTCTTTTTTGTCCAAATTGATAAATTTTTTCTTCTTCAACCAAACTTAAGGATGGAGTTTTCCAAATAGGATATTAATTATTTATTATAGTAGGATTTTGTTTCTAGTTTAAATTAGGACTTTTCTTTCTTTTAATTCTTTTAGGTTTCTTATTTCTACTTCATTTAAGTTTTTAGTTTCTTTTCTTTTATGATATTTTTCCTTACACCGTTAGGATTAAGAGTTTAGTTCCTCCTTTGCCTATATGAGAAGGGGTTGGGCCCTTCGAAATAACCAATTCATTAGAATTAATTATTCTTTATAAATTTTCGAGTTTTTCAACTTTCTTCTTGTTCCGAGAGTTTTAATTCTGCTTCCGCACCAACGTCTTACACGGTTAAATGTTTTTACTTGAGGTTTCTCAAACTGTATTCTCCCGTATTGTCAACACTGAGACAGGGAATGCAGTACACATGAACCTGGCTGTTACATCATTTGACAACTTATGTTTAAACTTTTACAAAAGCTGAGTCGGAATCTGGAAATATCCAAGAGATTATACATAAAAGTTTTCCCTGTGTATATGAGAGAAATGGAGGGTGCATTGGGAGGAAGATATCTTACCTGACCTGTGTCATTATAAATAAAGAGAACATGTAGAAGCATGATAAGTCATGATATCTTTCCAAATAAAAACCTAATGCATCCAATGCAGGCATACTTATCTCAAACAGGATAGATCAAGATAAACACATCAATGCTGATCCTGTCTCACCTCTAATGCACGAAGACCCCAGGTAAAACGACGATGCGTTGGGTTTGCAGCTTTTGAATCCCATCCCCGGTACTCGTACAAACTTGAGGATGTATAAACACATCTTGGAACCTTTTGGAATGATGATTCAAGAGGAACATTTCCACATGTCACAACCTGCAAAACGTTAAAACTTTTATTTGTTAGGACAATGCATCATGTAGGTTTGGAAGTTTACTGTGCAAAATTCACACGGGATTCCAAGAAAACATCTCCTTCCTTGCCAAAGTGAAATGCAAAGAATATGCTGCCTATATACATCAAGATATTATTCTATACAAAATTTAAGGCTAGAGAAGTGCTTATATGATCCTCAAGAATTAAAGCACTGCAGATTCAAAAGCTCTTGTGTGTAACTATGCATAGTAGAATATCAAAGTGTTTGTAGCATTTTATTCTACATAGGGAAGATATTATCAGAACCACAAACGACTTAACAATTTTGTGATATATTTTCAACTTAATAACTGTCATATCTAAAAACAAAACACTTGTCTTCTTATCCAACTAGATCATCGTGTCCAAGACATTGATTATTCACCTCTGCTTTCTATTTTCTCTCCTTCTCTTTCTCACCATTTTTATCCACATATCAGAAGCCAATGCTTTAGTGCTGAGAATTAAACAAATCTGTCTTGTTAAAAGAATGAACATAGAAAATTAACCCATCTTCTAATACTTGTATATTGGATGACCCAAGAGAATGCTCGAACTTAGAGAACCATAAACTTTAAGAAATTCGTCAGCAACTAGACTCCATCAAATCTAAAAGATCTCATTACTCAGTATACAAAAATTCGATAGCTCCAAACCCTTGAAAGGCTCCTAATAATAAATGATAGTGTAAGGATTCAGCATGGGAGCATAGGTTCCTCTATTAACTTCCTTAAAAAAAAAACCAATGTTAAGTTGTTGACATTCTCGAATCTCGACTGTAGGTTTTTGACCTGTGCTTTGGAATCATGTAACGGACAAATAATGATACCAGAAAAGTATAATTGCTAGTTTAATTTACTGAATCGCTTTCTTTTGGGTGAGTTGGAGGGAGGGAGGATATGTCTGATGTAGCATACCCCAGAAACTTTGACAAATTGGCCGTCTTTTGCAGTTCTTAACTCGGCATCTGGATAACTAGCTATGAAACCAGTAATAGCTCTTCTTCCCCAACAAGTATTCCAGGTAAACACTGTAGCCACAGCAGCAAAAAGTACAACAACGACAACAAGAAGAATGGGGTTGTGAACAGCCCCAAGTATGAAACCACCAGCAATAAATCCCATCATGAATAGAAGTATGATGGACCAAAGGATTGCCTTCGGGAAGCTCTTGCGGAAAGAATACTCATCATCAGAGCTAAGACGTGTAACAGCCTGGTTGTTGACTATAGCATTGTGCCGTTTCATTGATCCTGTAGACTCCAAAGGACCAGATGCCTTCCGAGGAGCCCCTGCAGAATTCAGTGGGCCTGAAGTAATAGGTCCAGATGTAATGAGGCCCGTTGTCGGAAGAACTGGAGGAATAGGACCAGAATTTTGGCGGGAAACAGCAGCTCCACCTCCACCTTGAGGACCAGATGACTTTTTCAATGGCTCTCCATGTTTATTAAGAGGACCAGAATTGGTCTTCTTCAAAGAAGCAGATGCAGGAATGCCACCAGATGAAAGAGAACCCACCCGATTGCTAGAATTTAATTGCCCCGATAGAGATGCAGAACCACCAAAAGATCCTGTCCTTGAAGGAGCACTGTTAATGGGACCAGATTTTCTAGATCTGGAGCCATCCGCCAGAATTTTGGCGGGAAACAGCAGCTCCACCTCCACCTTGAGGACCAGATGACTTTTTCAATGGCTCTCCATGTTTATTAAGAGGACCAGAATTAGTCTTCTTCAAAGAAGCAGATGCAGGAACGCCACCAGATGAAAGAGAACCCACCCGATTGCTAGAATTTAATTGCCCTGATAGAGATGCAGAACCACCAAAAGATCCTGTCCTTGAAGGAGCACTGTTAATGGGACCAGATTTTCTAGATCTGGAGCCATCCATAGGTATAAACATTTTACCAAGTTCTCCAGACTTTTTGATATCACCACCAGTGTATGGCATGGCAACTGAGCTCATTGTGGGAGTTTTTTCTTTTGGCTGCTCAGGCCGGCCCGACACGTAAAGGCCATTACTCAACTTATGAGATGGAAACCGTGAACCCATATGGCCTACTACTACTTAACAGAAGCCAAATGAACAATATGTAGAGAAAGATATCCAGCAACCAACTTTATATTCAGCCAATCAAAACTCAATAACAGGGATCCCAGCTTAACCTAACACGCCTACTTCCACAGGAGCATTATACCTAAAAAATGAAACAGAAACAGGACTCTGATGTAAATACAGATCCCTTTTAAAAATGGAAAACTAACAAACCTTCAATACAAATATTCAATTTTCAAATAGTTACCACAATCATAAAAAAAAAAAAATCAGCATTACTTGAGTTAAGACTTGGCTTGCCAGAAACAGAGTAGATGAAGGTTCGTTAATTGATAATGAACATCTGGATATTCCTTAAATCAGTAAAATCTACTGAAACAAAAATGTCCAGTTGAATTGTTTTCTTAACCTTTCTTTTGGCTGCTCAGGCCGGCCCGACACATAAAGGCCATTACTCAACTTATGAGATGGAAACCGTGAACCCATATGGCCTACTACTACTTAACAGAAGCCAAATGAACAATATGTAGAGAAAGATATCCAGCAACCAACTTTATATTCAGCCAATCAAAACTCAATAACAGGGCTCCCAGCTTAGCCTAACACGCCTACTTCCACAGGAGCATTATACCTAAAAAATGAAACAGAAACAGGACTCTGATGTAAATACAGATCCCTTTTAAAAATGGAAAAGTAACAAACCTTCAATACAAATATTCAATTTTCAAATAGTTACCACAATCATAAAAACAAAAATCAGCATTACTTGAGTTAAGACTTGGCTTGCCAGAAACAGAGTAGATGAAGGTTCTTTAATTGATAATGAACATCTGGATATTCCTTAAATCAGTAAAATCTACTGAAACAAAAATGTCCAGTTGAATTGTTTTCTTAACTTATCAAATTGAAAACTGCAAAGCAAGAACAGAACACAACTGAAACAAGATCTCACTTTGTACCCAAACTGCATTAAATTAATGGTCATTATTTAATTAAAGAAAAAAATTAAAACAGGTATCAAATTCTATCAGAAAATCTGACAAAATCGGATCATCCTTTCCACCTAGATTATAATTTAGCATCTAATACATCAACAGAAATTGCTACTGCACCAGCCACAGATCTGGGAAATCCCAACGATAAATAAAATCGATAGGCAACCAAACCTTAAAATTGAAGAAAGAAGAGAAACAGTAGAAGAATCTAGAGCCATTATCAGCAAAAATTAAAGAAAAAAATTAAAACAGGTTATCAAATTCTATCAGAAAATCTGACAAAATCGGATCATCCTTTCTACCTAGATTATAATTTAGCATCTAATACATCAACAGAAATTGCTACTGCACCAGCCACAGATCTGGGAACTCCCAATGATAAATAAAATCGATAGGCAACCAAACCTTAAAATTGAAGAAAGAAGAGAAACAGTAGAAGAATCTAGAGCCATTATCAGCAAAACTAATTCGATAAATCATCAAATACACATATGGTGAAGATTTCATTGTTAACTACTGCTAGGAACTTCCAGATCCAATAAAAGAACAAATCAGACGCGCCCAGTAACTCAGAAATCACAGTGTGAGATATGTAATACACATATATACACTAAGAGGGAAAAACGATCCCATTTTTGAACCAAAAAAGAATCCATATAAAAATTTGCCAAAATTGGCAGTACAATACTTTCAAATCAAGAATTCAAGAAAATAAGAGACCCGTATGAAAAATCAGACAAGTGAAAGACCCACACTTCCATTTCTACCAAGACGGAGTAAAATCATAGATCACAGAGTCTCCTAAACTTTACAGATTAAGAAAAGAATTTTTTTTTTTTTTTTTTTTAAAAATTTATACGTACTTGAGCGTTAGAGAGGGTGGAAATCACAGTGTGAGATATGTAATACATATATATACACTAAGAGGGAAAAACGATCCCATTTTTTAACCAAAAAAGAATCCATATAAAAATTAGCCAAAATTGGCAGTACAATACTTTCAAATCAAGAATTCAAGAAAATACGAGACCCATATGAAAAATCAGACAAGTGAAAGACCCACACTTCCATTTCTACCAAGACAGAGTAAAATCATAGATCACAGAGTCTCTTAAACTTTACAGATTAAGAAAACAATTTAAAAAAAAAAAATTATGCGTACTTGCGCGTGAGAGAGGGGTGGACGGCAGCAGAACGAGATGAGAATGTGAAGAAACTGAAACATAGAGAATCAAAAAATTCTGAATTAGAGGGGTTTGCTGTATGGTAATAAAATGAAGAAAGGTGTAGGGGACAAATTTATGAGAGATATCAGTACACTAATAAAAGAAGGAAAACTGAAAACATACACTTCATCTTCCGGATGTCTACTCTAAATCATTTCTTTACTGCTGCAAGTTGAAAGAAAGACTGTCAAAAACATCAGTCAAATTGCCAATAATATCAAAATACTCCTTCGCCTTTCAAAAATATTAGTAACGTCCTTCATTTCAAATTTTAATTATAATTCAGCTTTAAGATTAATATTCTATAAATTATTAATACTCAAATTATCATTAAAACTAATATATAAAATCCATATCATAATGCATTTGACCCTAACATCACATCCTATTATCAATGTCAATTACACTAATTAGATAACTTTAGTTTACCATCTATTTTAAACATCAAAATGCGAGGTTAATTTAACAAAACGGGATGAGTTTATCACTTTATTAGCATTGATAGCCACATTCTTCGCCCCCACTCACCTCGTATTGTCCTGCCCAAAATGGTGAAACGGCCAAGAACATAGATATGGCCCTTTCTGGAATTTTTCAAGCTCGTCTGAATTTTTTTTACTTTATTTTATTTTTATATTGTATAATTTAAATCGAATAATAAATAAATGATTGTACATGACACTAAATGAAGATAATTTAATCCACATGAAACCCCATCCCCAAAAATCCCCGGCAAGACATGGATGAGGATGGCCATCGGCCTCACCAAATTACCAACCTATTTACAAAGTAAATTATTTGCAAGCTATTACGTCAATCCGAGAATTTACCCAGTACACACTCGAAAGATAGCCGCTGTGGATTCCCCCGTCATCCAAAAAAATTAGCAAATAATTTCAATGTCAAAGTGTTAGAATCGATATTCATTGTTAAAGTTCAATGAAATGGAAATTTTCCATTTCATTGTTGAAACTTGTATGATAATAGGCTGGGACGTTTTTTTATGAAAGTCCAAAATAGTGAATAGATTGTACGAAGTTTTATTTATTGTTCCCAATAGCAATTTAAGTATTAACACTTTATACTTAGGGCCCGTTTGTGCCCCTATTTAATTTCAAAAAATGTATTATGTAATAGCAATTGATGTTGAAATGTATAGTTAAAAAAGAAGGAGAATTTTTAATTTATGTGTAATATTATTTTAATGAAGAATGTGTGGTTAAAAATAAGTACTGTAAAAAAAAAAATGTGACAGAATGTGGTAGAATGATTGACAAACAAAGATTTAAACATTAACTAGTCTTAAAGGAGTGTGGCAAGGGGGGTGAATATAATTCTCAAATTACGAAATTTGGGAGGTTAGTAATATTTGTAAATTACAGAAAGATGATATTGTGAGAAAAGTAAAAGATGTTTATAAATTCTCTAAAATAATAAATTATCTCGTTTTTACGACAATATAGTAGTTCGTTTAATTACATTCATCCATCTTAAATTCTTACGATTTATTTGAACTATAGACGAAATCTATTTACTTGGTTGAACCTTGTGAACTCTAATACTGAGTAGAGTCAATATTTTATCGAATTATTATTATTATTTAAATCATTTACAAATATACAAATGCTAGAAGTAATCTGTTTTTTCAATATTAAAGGAAAAGATTCCTAATTCAATTACTAATATAAATCTACAAATAGTTTTGCCTATTGAGAAAAATGGAATCATGAAAATAGTACATCTTTTGTATAGAAAGTCATACAATGTGTGAGTTAATCCAATCGCCAGTTAATAAGGTTTGTATTATAATAGTGTTCTCTACAAATAAGTATTAAATTGTTCCGTACAAAAGACCCTCGATCGTTCTTAGCTGTCTCCTAGTCACTTGTTATTATGCCAATATTTTAACTGTCATTTTATGAACATAGCTTTTTTTATTTTTTATTTTCGTCCTTTTGTATTTTACAAATAATTAAATTAAAACATAATAATTGACATTTTTGGCTTAATAGATAAATTGCTTGCTAATAGTTTTACATTAATATTAATTTGCTTGTCGGAATCTTGGGATTAACATTAACAAGGAAGATTCTTGGATGGAATCTTGATGGACCCCCAAAGAGGGGGTCAAAAGGAATATATGTAAATTTGGGATGTAATTAAAATCTTTTAATGTGAATAAACCATTAAATATAAGTAACTTATAAGCTATTTTCTTTATAAAGAAGACAAACTACATTTCATGTTTGGCTGATGTGGGAGTGGAGTGGGTTAAACATAAACATGATTAATATGTTAAATCATGACTCAAGTTTGAGTACAATTAGGCAATGCTCATAGTCTTTGCTTTGATAATCAAATTGGTCCAATTATTAATTTGATATAATTTTTCAAATGAAAGTGACGTGAAAGGTAAAATTTCACTTTCTAGTTTGTTGACTTTGCTTTAACAAGAAATGAAGCTGGTTCCAGATTATAATTAATCAAAAGGATTAGATGAATAAATTAAGACGATTTTTTAATTATAATTTAATATGTGAAAATAATTAATTTTTAAAATTTTCCATGTGGTTGTTAATTTCCACAAGCAAATTCTAAACATTTAAGACTACAATTTACTCAAAAGTTGTAATCCAAGATATACAAGTACTCGTGTGTCAAATCTTGC